ATACAGGGTCGCTATGGGTCGGAACCGACTCGAAGGCACTTAACAACAACAACAACAGTATGACAAACTGACAGACGAGTGGTGGAGAGTCCAGTTAGTTGAAGTGAAATCTGAGACTTAAGGAATCTAGATGGGGAAACAACATGTAGGGAAGGAATGATTCCAGTTCTGAAAAGAAGGGCTATTGGGTCCCCTCATTTGTTGAGCATCTGTTCTAGGTCAGGCATTGGGTTCTGATGATTATCAAGAGGAAACAGATAACAAATATGCTGTTCTTCAAATGGTGAGAACTCCTAAGGAGAGTAATAAGGCGAGGAAAAGGAGATTGTGGTGGAGAGGGGAAGAGGAAAGGCTTTTTCTAACAATGTAATATTGTATGGACATCTAAGGAAAGTGAGGAAACATGCTCAATTTGAGATGCTTTTTATACATTCAAGTACAGAACAGGCAGCACTGGTCTGAACTTTATGGACAAAGTCTGGGCTGGTATAGGTGTATTTAAAGCCATCAGAGTGGATGGGTCACTAATTGTGTGCCACTGAGTGGATTCTGACTCACAGCAAACTTACAGAACAGAGGAGAACTGCCCTAATGGGGGGTTTCTAGGCTAGTCCTGGTGTAGCACTGTAGGATAAGTAAGGTTGGTAGTTCAAACCCACCAGTCATTCCTTGGAAACGCTACACAGAGTCGCTGAGTCAAAACTGACTCCACAGCACTTTACAACAATCTTTACAGGCGCAGACAGCCAGGTCTTTCCTTCTGTGGAACCACTGGTGGGTTCAAACTGCAAACCTTTCAATTAGCTGCTGAACCATTGGGCCATCAGAACTCATTCATTCATCAGCTAGGTAGTGAATATAGCTGGAGAAAAGAGAACGTGTTCCACAGACAAGCCCTGGAGCATTACAATATTAGGAGGTGAGGAAGTAGGGATGAATCAGCAAGGGAATCCTAAAAGGAACAACCAGTGAGCTAGGAAGAGAATCAAGGCAGACTGTGCTCTAGAAGCTAAGTGGAGGAAGTGTTTCCAAGAGGATGTGATTAACTGATTAATATAAAGATTATTGGTGTTCTTGATCTGATCACTTTCTGATGGAGAGTGGGGGTCAGAAACTGAGTTGGAGTGAATTTAAGAGACAATAGGAAAGAATTGGAGACTGAGTAGATGACTCTTGAGCAGCTGGAGGGAGGAACAATAGGGAAGTAGGTACAGGAATATAGGGCTCAATGAGGTATTGTATTGAGGATTTGAAATGAAGAAGTAACAGCATGTTTTTATGGTGAGGGAAATAATCCAATAGAGAAACTGATGATGTGGGAAAGAGGAGAAATACCGGAGTTGTATCTCTGAGCATACAGGGGATTGGCTCAGAGCCGGGAGAGACTGGAATAGACCAGTACCCTGCCCGGAAGACACTTCAGAGGGGAAAGAAGCATCTGCTAGGAGGGCAGGCTATATTTAAAGCAAATACAGCAAAATTTAAAGTTTCCTTCTGTTTCCCAAAAGCTAGTTTTAATTTGGATTTGGATAGATGGCCCAGAGGTGCCAGGTGGAGGAGCTGGCATAAGCAAAAAGCACATGGACTTGAGGAGGCAGGTGGAGCTAAGTGGGAGAGGAGGGAAGGAACAGGGCTGAGAAGATGCCATAGGCAAAAGACAGCCCCTGAGACCCTTCACCCATCCAGGCAGCTGCAGCTGTGCACTGTACAGGCTCCCAGATTGGGTGGTCCCAGAGGGCAGGGATTAGAGGGGATTCTAGTAACCACCATCTAGGTTGGTTTATGAGACTCTTGCTCCTGCTTTCCCCCAGCCCAGCCTGCTTGGGTAAGCTTCTGGAGTGGGTATTTGGGGACAGCTACCCAGATCCCTAGCAGCAGGCCCTGGTGGGCTCACCAAGGGACCAGCAAGGGTCTCAGGCCACAGCCATTACATGCTCTTCTGTGTCCTCAGAGGCCAACAGTGAAGGGAGCTGGAGTGACTCAGCTGGATGTGACTCCAGGACAGAATGGTGCTGGACTCGGGGGCCCAGGTGTATGAGCAGGTACCCCCCAGCCCACCTGCCAGTCCCCTGTCCCTATGCACCAGGCTGAAGTCATCAGGTAGAGATGGGCCGCCACTGTACCCCTGGTCTCAGCCCCTGCCCTTGCCCTTGCCTCTGGCTTTGTCAGTCCCTTCAGCACTTGGACCTCAGCCAAGAGTGCAGCCCCTCTCAGAACTGCACCTGGGCCACCACCGCCACATGCGTCGCAGTGAGAGTACCTGCACCATAAATAACACTGGCCGGCGGAAGAGCGGCACCCAAGGACGAGCCCCACCTGGGCGGGGACGAGACCCAGGTGGGGGCACCTTGCGGTCTGCAGCCTCCCTGCCTCACCTTGCTAAGACCCGAAAGGATACAGGCCGTGGTGCCAACAAGAGCCCCTGCATGCTGGTGGCCCTTCGACCAACCAACATGAACAGCGAGCGGGACAAGTTCTTCCAATCTCGTTACACCTACAACCCGCAGTTCGAGTACCTGGAGCCCATGCCCACGGCAGTGCTGGAGAAGTACTGTGAGGCCTCTGGGCAGTTCATTCACCAGGTCAGTCCAGCCTGCCTCCCTCACCCTGGCCCTGACTACCCAAGAGGCCTGGCCTGACCGGCCACTGCTGCCCTGTGTGCAGGCGGTTGGCATCATCGAGGCTGTCCTGGAGAAGTTTGGCACCTATGAACATTTTGAGGCTGTCACTGGGGGCCAGCTGCTGACCAAGTGCCAGATCTGGTCCATTGTGCGCAAATACATGCAGAAGGAGGGCTGCGTGGGGGAGGTGAGTTTGCCCTGCCTGCCAGCCCCTTCTCTACAGTCCCCAGATCAGGCTGTTAAATCATACCTGGCTGCCTGGTAACCTCAGACCAGACTTTGACTCAGTGAATTGGGGCCTGGCTCTGAGCAGATCTGGTGAGAAGTAGGTGTCCAGCCTGACATCTGTGGGTCTGCCTGTACACTGGTCCCAGGGCTAGGGGCCATGGCTCAGGACAGTACTGCCCGTAGGTGGTGGTGCAGCTGAGTGAAGACCTGCTGTCTCAGGCTGTCATGATGGTGGAGAACAGCCGACCCACATTGGCCATCAACCTGACGGGAGCCCGCCAGTACTGGCTGGAAGGCATGCTGCGGCACGAGATAGGTCAGGGTGTGGGTGGGTGGGTGGCTGGGCGGAAATGGATGAGAGGTAGCTGGGAGCTGGGGTGTGGGGAGTGAGGGCCCCCAGTAACCCCATCCCACCTGTTTCTCCCTCATCTCTTCCCCTCGGGGAGCAGCTACCTCCTCCCTTTTACACAGAGGTAGGCCAGTACTTGCTTGCCTGCTCTTTGGGGTCACCCTTATCTCTTGCTCCGTTGGGGGATCTTTGTCTTCCTCTTTTTCTCTGATTGCCCTTCATGGTGGGTGCCAGGCTCAGAAGGCTGAAACAAGTCAGAGAGAGCACCCTAGGGGTCCCACCAGCCTAGCCAACATTGCAGGCCCTCCTGGGAGCATAGAAGACCAGATCCTGGGAATAGAATTGTCTGAGGACACACAGAGATGGTGTAAGAGGGGACAGGCCAGCCTGGGAGCCGGGTGTGCGGTGTGTGTACAGGACACTAATCATTATTCCTTTCTACCGGTCCCTCATATCAGAATCCTGTTGCTCTGGGCAAGAGGTAGTTTTTCTGAGGGCTCAATGTGACTGGCAAAATGATAAGGGCATTGTGGCTTGGTGTGTGATGTGTGCTCATGCCCCACCTCCAGAGAGCTGGGGAAAATGTGACTTTGTGGGGAGTTTGTATGTGTGTGCATGGGGAACTCATGCCTCTGAGACACTATTGGTCCTTGGGTGCACATTTGCTGAGGAGGGTATTCCTGCTGCCTGGGGTCTGGCGAATAAGTATGCTTTTGTCTGGAGGGGAGCAAGCAGGAAGGGGAATTGAGGGGAGTTATATGAGAGCCTATGGAGTCCTGGTGTGGGGCTGTGGGCTAATGCGTCAGACTGCTAAGTCCGTTTGAACCACCAAGCTGCTCCTTGGAAACCCTATACTGGGACGCTGTGGGTCGGAAGGGACTCTCTGGCACTTAACAACAACAACATATGAGAACCTGGAATCTCTGGTGTGGCACTGTAGGATAGGCACTGGACTGCAAGATCGGTTTGAACTACAACGTCGACGGTTCAAACTCACCAGCCGCTCCTTGGAAATCCTACCCAGGGTCACACTGAGTTTGAAATAACTCTCAATGGCATTTAACAACATATGAGAGCCTAAATTTAGGGGTACTTCTAACCCAGCTAGAGGTCCTGTAGGTGGGCTAAGTCAGGCTAAGGCAGGAAGGTCTCCCGACTGACCCGCCCAGCTCCACCTCCACACCCCCTCCCCTGCAGGTACTCACTACTTGCGGGGCGTGAACAATGCGCAGCAGCCTTGGCACAGCACTGAAGGCCGGGTACAGTACGGGCTGCGGCCTGCCAACCCCACCGAGGAAGGTCTGGCCAGCCTGCACAGCGTGCTTTTCCGCAAGCAGCCTTTCCTGTGGCGCGCTGCACTGCTCTACTACACTATCCACCGCGCAGAGCGCATGTCCTTCCGCCAGCTCTTCCAGGACCTGGAGCGATACGTTCAGAATGCCGACGTGCGCTGGGAATACTGCGTGCGCGCCAAACGTGGCCAGACAGACACCTCGCAGCCGGGTGGGCGGCCTCACGCGTGGGGATGAAGAGCAAGGGAGGCATTGTCCACAGCTGCTGGAATGGGCGGGGTGAGGGTGGAGTCAGGGTCTTAACCTCAGGCCCCAATGGCTCATAGCTCTCCCATGCTTGCAGGTTGCTTCAGCAAAGACCAGGTGTACCTGGATGGCATTGTGCGCATTCTGCGGCACCGTGAGACCATCGATTTCCCACTGCTGACCTCACTAGGCAAGGTGAGAAGTCACGGGCCTGCAGATGGCCTATCCAGCTCTCCACTTCTGTATTCCCTAAACCTCTGATGGGTTCTTGGCTGAGGGATGGATGCCAGAGTTCTCTAGTGGGGGGAGCATGGGTGATGAACCTAGGAGATTAAATGCCAGTTTGTTGTGACAAAAGCTCTCAGGGTCCACAGGCATAAACAGATGCTTGACCCAGCGCACAGGTGTGCACGTAGATATTGTATCTCAAAGGAGGATCAAGGTCGAGAAAGCAGTCAACAAGAAAGAGATTGAAGAAGTGGCCAGGGATCAAGTTCTTGGTCATTTGTGTCAGGTGAACTTCATCCAAAAGTATGGGAGTTGGAGGAGGAAATGTTGAGCAGAGTAGCACAGCTTCTGGCTTGTAGGAGCGAAGGTAAATTGGGGAGAAACCCAGGGAACAAGTGAAGGGGAGGAGATGGTCTTTCCATCACTTCTGGTGGGTGGTCTGGCTATGCCATTGAAGAGGAAGGATGCAGCTAGAGAGCTCTTCAGAGGGTGTAATCCCTTTAACTCAGTGGCCATTCAGAGTTCGAAATGACAGAGTCCAGATCTCCTTCTGGAACCTACTTGGGTAACTAAAGAGAACCAGGCTGACATTAGCCAGCCCCCAGAAAGTAGAGTGCTTCCTAAGTGTTACATTGGATATGAGGAGTCTGAGGTGTATGAAAGATGTTTCAGGAGTAGATTCAGGAGGCAATGAGATACCCAGGCTGGGCTGAAGAGAGGAGTGAGGTTGTGGCACATAAATGAAGATAAGAGAGCAAAGACCCAGGACTGAGCCCAGAGGTGCATGTACTGGAGGTGGACAGGAAGGAAAGTGTGAGGGGGCGCAGAGAAAAGAATCCCAGGTGCAATGGGTATTGAGCATCAATCAAGGGCTGGGACCAGCTGCCAGAGGCTGGGGGGCTCTGCCTATCCCTGAGACCCAGCCCCCTCCCCACAGGTATCCTATGAGGATGTGGACCACCTGCGGCCCCATGGGGTGCTGGACAACACCCGGGTGCCCCATTTCATGCAGGACCTGGTGCGGTACCGGCAGCAGTTGGAACACATCATGGCCACCAACCGGCTGGATGAAGCAGAGCTGGGCCGCCTACTGCCCGACTAATGCTGATCGAGAAGGCCACAGGCTCTAGATTGGCCCTCAGATTATGAAGCTATCTGCTCTGTGCTTCAACTGCCTAGGTGTTTCTTGGGGAGCTGGGAGGGCAGGAGCATCCTGGGAAGGAGAGGGTGGCAGCAGCATCAGAGGGTTTGTGTCCTTTGCTAGCCTCCCTGGAACCTGAGGACAGCAGCAGCATGTCAGGCAAACCAAGTATACCCTCCTGCCTTGAGCCTTCTGTTGAGCAGAGAAGAGGGCAGGGGGCAGTAGGGGAGCTGAGCATGGATATGGATAGGGGTGATGGGGGGTAGTTTGGGAATGGAAGTTTGTTCCTGCATGAGATGACTTTGTGTGTCTAGGGACTCCCGTCCCTCTCTTCTCCCACCTGGCCCCTTGATGCTCCTTCAGCCTTCACACTGTCTACCTCTCACTGGATCCTGGTGGGTGTCGGGACCCCTTCTCCTGAGGTGATTGCCTGAGACTGGGGTCCTGGCTCAAGGGGCAAGTGTTCTGGTAGTAGAGCCCCAGCTGGCCTGGGATGTGCTTTTCAGTACTTTGCCTCTTCCACTGATTTTATAGATTCCATATTTACTACATGCTCTACTTCCTGGGGCTTGGAGGCAATTCCTGAAGGCTCCTGAAGATTCAGTCAAGGGAAAAGAGCTCCCTTGGGAAGCACTGAGTATTTCTAGCCCCATTCCCAACACGCATGTACACACACACACTCCACTCACTCACTCACTCTCTGTGCCTCAGGCCTGTGAGCCAAGCCCAAAAGCTCATTTGGCCCTGGCCCACCCCTTTCACAGCCTCTGCCTGCACCCTCACAGCTGGTCTCTAAAAGAGGTTACCATGGTCTGGTAGCAGCCACAATCAAATGAACCTGAGGGCAGGCCCCTACGGTTGGTTGTCCCAAGACCTGAGCCCTCCTGGACCAATGGAGGAGCAGGAGGCAATTCTTGGTTTTAGTTTTACTTTGGACACACTGGGTGAGGTTGACCCACTTCCACCCCTTCCCTGGGATTCAGTTTTCCCATCTCTAAAACCCAGAAACAAGCTGGGAAGTCCTTATTCATTCAGTCAACCAATATGTATAGAGCACCTTCTGTGTGCCAATCACTGGTCAGAACCTTCACTGAAATCTCAGTGTAGGGAAAGCCAGACAATTAAAGCAGCAGTGACAATGATTTGTGTGTATTTGGTCTACCCATGATCCCATCCTGTTCCTCTCTTCTAATCTCACTTATCAAGGCTCTGGGGTGCTAAGACTTCCCTAGGTAGAAACAAGCGCCCCAACCCCTTGCTGTCTGTCTCAGGCCCAAGGCTTTTCTGGAGGGAGGTGGTTATCTACACAGGCCCTTAAATGCCTCTTGATGGGAAAAGAGCTGGAGCTGGGGATAGGCCTTTGTCCCACTGGATTTCTGGGTCTGGAATCCCTAGTGATACAGCTTGGGCTACTGAAGGCTAAGGACTAGGGAGAGGAATGAAGGAACGCAGGACTGCCTAGGTTGCTGGTACTTAAAGGCATGCACCCACCCCCAGTTCCAGGGCAAAGAGCCAGAATGAGAGAGAGCCCAGCCCAGGTGACCTCCCCTAGGGTTTATTCACTTCTAGAGACCACCAGGAGTCAGCCCACACAGGATCCCAGGTCCCTTCCAGTTTGGGCGGGAAGCCGCTGGTCAGCATACTGGTCTTCAAGAATCTAGAAGTGTAAGACAATGGGAGAGAGTGGTCAGTGAGGTGGGCCCGCCCTCCACTTCCCAGTTCATGACTTACTGCCAGCCAGACACCAGGTGAGGGGAGCCTCACACCTTCAGGCTCATCTACTGCCTCGTAGTCAGCCTCCGGCTCAGGCTCGGGCTCCAGTTCAAATTCTGGTTCTGCCTCTGGTTCGGGTTCTGGATCCATTTGGGGTTCTGGCTCTGGCTCAGTTGCCTCAGAGGCCTCAGCTTCCAGCTCCGGTTCGGGCTCCTCTGGGGTCCCTGACTGCACTGCTTCGGAGCCTGCAGGACCCCCAGCCTCATCCCACTCAGACGTTCGGGGTAGTCCGGGGCAAGCAGTTCCGGAGCCGGGTGTCTCAGGCGTCCAGTGGCCTGGACACGGAGGGTCGTAGCTGCGGTCCCGGTAGCCTGGGGCAGAAATGGAGTATCTCAGGTTCTTGTACCTTTCCTCATTTCCTTTTGCTCTTAGTTGGGAAACAACTCAAGCTCTTAGCATTTGCCCCGCCCTCCGGATCACACCCCACCCCCTGCTTTGCCCTAAGCCCCGCCCCGTGCGCGCTCACCGGGGCCCACATGCTGCCAGTCCCAAGTGGGGTCAGGTGCGCGCGCGGTAAGCTGGGCACAGCGCAGCAGCTCGTGGCAGGCTCCTTCGCCCTTGCTCTGTACTAGTAGCAGCAGCCGGCGCACCCTGCGCTCTGCATCAGGCAGCGCGTCCAACGCCTCATACTCCGCCCCTGTGAGCACGCCTCGAGTCAGCAGTGCGTCCAGCAGCAACCCGCAGTCGGCCTGCAGGGTCTCCACCAGGCGTTTCCGCTCGCGATCTATCGTCTCCGACGGCCGCTCCTGCGTATTGCCCATGGTTCAGGCTGTATGAGAAGAGCAGTAATGGGCGCCAGAGGTCCCTCTCTGGGGCTCCAGTGAACGCTTGAAGCTGAGGCCGAAATTCACCTAGACCGCGACCATCCAATTTTGTCTGCAGCACGGAAACTTGGAGGCCACCGTACAGAGCCAATGTCTTCCTGCCTCCCTGGGCCACTTTGTCCCATCTCCTAAATGTTAGGTGTAGCTTTCCTGACTTCCTCCTTACAATCGCTTTGTTAAGTGCCATCGAGTCGATTCCGACCCATAGCAACCTGTATAGGGTTTCCAAGGAGCAGTTGGTGAGCTTGAACCACCGATCTTGCAGTTCAAACGACTTTGCAGTCTGACGCATTAGCCCACAGCGCCACACCAGGACTCTACAATCGCTTAGGACTCCAATTTTCTCTCACCTCCAGAGTTCCAGCCACCTGCATCTCCTCCTCTCCCCCTCCATGCAAATCCTGCCTTCGAATCAGAAAGGGGTTCCTTTCTCTTTCCCAAATCTTCTCCATTTCAACAGGCATAAAGACCTCAGAAACCCTAGTAGGGTTGCTGAGTCGGAACTGACTCCATGGCATTCTGCCTTTTAGGTCTCTCTCTCCATGGCACACCACCACCAAAAACCTAGTGTTGATCCCAGATATCCACACCTAGGTTACTTGTCAAGTCCTTTTCTGCTTGACTGCTGAGTATTTATACCCTAGTCTCCACCGAATACTTTAGTTTCTGCAGAGTCCTCCATCTGGAATCCCTGCCTTCAGACTCTTCCCCTCTGCATCCAAAGTCCAAAATGTTGAGGGCCTCCTGCTCCTTTCATCTACTGGAAGAAGTCCAGACTCCTCACACTGACCCTAAGGTCATCTTTTCAGACCAGGTCCAGTTCCTGCACTGCCCCTGCCAACACCTCCACCACCATGATGCAACTCTATGTGTTCTCCTGATCCTTCCTGGTTTCTTGATACCTGAGCAGGAATACCTGAATCCCCTTGCATCCCAGCTCCGACTATAATCTCCTGATATCACCTGAGACACAACTATCTCCCCACTGGTCATCTTCTGCTTCACCTTAAAGTCTCCAGGGACCAATGGAAAAAACTACAAATAAATGTCAACCAAACTTTTACTGTTTCTCCTTTCTCTTGGTTTTGTCCACACATCACCCTCTTTGGTCTCCTCTCTTTGCCTTGTTCTAGATGTCTGGGTCTTGTCTGGAAGAGAGGGTTTGGTCTTTGCCCCCATTCTGCCTTTTAGGTCTCTCTCTCCAGCCCTTGGTATTTGTCTCAAAGCTTCCCTATGTCATTTTATCCCTCCTGGCCATATGGAAGTATCAACTCCTCCTCTAAGCCTCAGGGCAGAGATGAGGACTATTCCATCCCTCTCTCTCTTCCTGTTCCATCTGTGAAGTTGCTGTAGCTCCATCTTCCAGTGGGTCTCCATCAGCCCTTTGCCCAACCCCACCATCATTACTTTATATTCTGTAACAGGCCCTCTGGGCACTTCCCTCCACCACTCAGGACTCTGTTTACGCAGATATTGTTCCCTAAATCAAGACCGCCCTTTCCCTCCCTCCATTCTCCAAGGCAAAGTTTTCTGGTCCACCCCAATGTTAAATCTCCCTAAGGCAACCAGGTTCTTTCTGTGAGCTTCAGGGAACAATATGTACCCTCACCAATGAGTTAACTGACATCGCTGCACTGTGTACACGCAGACCCTCTGTCCTCTTCTGCAGAGGACTTCCAATGAATGAGCCCAATCATGGGGGGAGTGGAAGAGAGGATGAGCCTCTAGTCTGGACGGGGATGGGGATACCACTGGATTGACCCTCCCTTCTCCCTTACTCCTTCCGGTTAGCCTCCTCTTCCCGTTAGCCCCGCCCCGCCCCCGCCCCCACTTCTGCCCTTGGTCTCGTCCCGGGAGTGCAGACCCGGTTGGTCGGAGCCTCTCCTCTTTGGCTCTCACTGCACAAAACACTGAAGTTAAGTCGCGGCCGTTAGGACTCTGAGCCAGTCCCTTCAGAATAGCAGGGCTCCAGGTAGTCTCAGACGCCAGCAGAGTAGTAGGGTCTCGGTCCCTCCTTCGGTCCCTAGTTGAGCAGCCGATCCAGGGTCGCGGGAAATTGCGGAAGCCTTTACGCATCTGCGCCTGCAAGCTTACCCTTACCTCTCCTTCACTCAGACGCAGGGTTTAAGCGTCCAGCGGATGGGCGGGGCTCACCAACCTCCAAGGGCTGTTGCGGGCGCTGCGAGTGGCGGGACCACTATTCTGTCCAATCTCAGTTTCTCTCCCTCCCGGAGTTGAGTGGGGTGGGACTCCCAGTCTGGTCCGCTCCGGGCGGCCCCACTTACTGGTAGAACCTCAGTCACCCAAGAGATGACAGTGCAGAAAATGCTGGGCTGCCCGCAGGGAAGGGGGGAGCGGCAGACAACAGCTGCAGTGGAGGCTAGGCGGTCAGGGCTGCTGAGAACAGGGGCGGGGAAGGGAGTGGCGTTATTCCCAGAGCAGGGGCATTAAGGCCGTCGAGGTTTTACGCTGATTAGAGACATACCGGTCAGTAGTCTGCTTTTTCTTCCCACCTTGGTTTTGCCCGGAGATCGGTCAGGGCGGGACAGGGTAGGGGGCAGTTCGTCCCGCGGCCCCACGTGCTCAGGGTGGGCCTGGACGTTCCCAGACACTTTACCCCAAAGTTCTCGTCGATCCCTCCTCTCTACCTGTCACAGATGATGATCAGAAAAGGAAACTGACTTATTCCCGGGTAACAGAGTAACAGAGTGGTTGCATTACCGAGCCCGATCTGACGCAGATACTCCGCTTTCTGGAGGTGTCAGTGGCCGCTAGGCAGCCCAGTTAGAGGCAGGCTACCCAAGCACCTAACCCTCGCCAGCAGTTTCTCCGTTAAAACCCTAGGATCTGGGCCCTTCTACTAAGGTCCCTCCTCCACCCAACCTATGACTTTGTGCTTCCTAGTCTGTAAGGAGCTCTGGTAGCGTAATGGTTACCACTCGGGCTGCGAACCTTAAGGTCAGCGGTTTGAAACTAGGAGCCCCTCAGTGGGAGAAAGATGGGGCTTTCTACTCCCGTAAAGATTTACACCCTCGGAAACCCTG